CTGCTGTTTTGTTTTTAAGTAAGTATGAGAGCCTGTGGGAGCAACAAGGGGTAATAAAGGTTAATCACTGGGAGCTTAAGGGTGCTTATGCTTAATTTGTGGGCGATTAAAGATGCTCAAGGTTAATAGCTATGTTTTCAAAGCTAGTAATTCCTTTCATACAAGCTCCCCACTGTGGGAATTGCCATACCTATCAGTCAGTTCTAGCCACTAGCCAAAGGGATGGCAAATTCAGGAACCCAACCCTAAGTAGATTTTTGGATGAAGTAGACTGTATTAGCCCTTGAGATAATTTACAAATAGTAATCTTTAAAGGAGTTTGTCCTTTTTTAGTTTACCATTCATGTGGATTTAGTTTTGTTTTATAGAAGAAACTCCACACATGACTTTTTCTAAGGGCCTTGAAACCAATAATATTTAAAAATAATAAAACCAGCCAGCCTCCATTGTCATCCACATTCAGAGAGTCCGGTCTGATCACATGCTCATTCAATTCCAGTCCAGCTGGCTTTGGTGAGCTCCCATTAGATCAGTCACACTGTCTCAGTGGTTGAACCAACCCCTAATGGTCCTGACTTCCTTGGTCATCTTCTCCCTCCTTCTGCTCTTCAACTGGACCTTGGGAGCTCAGTCCAGTGCTCTGATCTCTTATGACTGGAGGGAGGAGGGAGGAGGGGGAACGGGGAGTGGGAGGGAAATAGAAGGAGGGGAGGAAGTGGAAATTTTGAATGGTATTATTTATAAAGCAATAAAAATTTAAAAAGAAAAAATAATAAATCAACTCAGTGCCTTGTAGAAACTTCTTTCTGAGTTCAAAGACTTGATCATTTGGTGAGGCATTTTAAAGGTGTTGTAGTTTGACTCAACAATGAAACACAGTGAGGTCATGGCTTTTACACCATGGCACAGAATTTGCAAGTACTTTGTCCAAGCCCCAAGATTTGAGGTTGAACTTCAAGATGGCAAACAAGTAAATCTGGTACAGGAAGCTTCAGCCCAACACAGCATTCAGAAAGCTGAAAAGGTATTATGGGCTGCTATTAGCCAAATTTCAAATGCAAGTGAGGAGTGAAAAACAGAGCAGCTAACCTTTTATTGTTTGACTAAAAAGGAAATGGGACCAATGAGGCAGACAAGAAAGGCACATTTGCCGAGGAGAATTTCGTTCATAGTAAAGTGTAAGTTGGGCATGGTAGTGTACACTGAGCAAGGGGGTTCATAAATTCTAAGCTAGTCTGGATTACATGGCAAGTCTGACACTATTATCCCCTCTGTATTGAGACTCTGTCTTAGAAAATGAATGCCAACTCCTTTATACTATGACAATTGAAGGCATATTAGGAGTTGATATTGCTTTACTTATGATAGGCTCAAAGGTACATAAGAGGAAAGTTTAGAAAAGACATTTACAAGTTGCAGTCATCTGGAATGATTTGGAATTCTCTGTGTGTGTAAAGCTGATGATCTGTTGCTAGCTACTGATTGAGACCCCTTTATGTATCGTTCAAGAAGGTCCAGGTCATACTATTACTATACATTAGGATTGCCTACCTAATACTACTGATGAACACAGGAAATAGCAACTGATTGTGAAGCTTTAAGGTTGAGGACCCTAAAAGTGAACAGCTTTGACTGTTGTTCTTGGCTGGAAGCTGACATGTCCTTGATTTTGTCCTAATTCTCTTTCCTTAAATTAGTACCCTGCCTGGAAACTACACACAAGGATATGATCGAAACTTAGAGGCACCTGGACTCCTTGTGGATGGGCTACCTATTAAAATAATTTCTGACATGAGTCTTATAAAAAGCCTCTAGAGAAAAGGTAGAAATGTGTCTTTCCATTGTCTGTTAATCCCATTCCACTTTTCAAATTTTCAGAATAAGAACTTGGAAGCAATTGTCAAGGGGTGGCCTCAGTGTCTACTAATTTTTCAGGAACCTAGTCCTATGTCCTACAGCCTACTGGAGGCTAGACAGTCTTTATTGTCTTCAAGGACACCCCACTTCTTTGAATCACTGTTAATAGTTATGAATACATGCACAAGGTCATGAGATATCTACCGAGTTTGCAAAGGAAAGTTTGGGAGACCAGGCAATGAGATCTAGGGTCATAATTCTAACAAACAACACCTGACAGAGCAATAGATGGAACTGTGAAAATGAAGCTGAAACTGCAGTGGTGATGCTAGAAAGTCAGAGATGCAAGAATGTGCAACACCTGCAAAGAATAGCTCTGAATAGTGTGAAAAACTGTCCAAGAAAAGAAAGCACGTTGGCTCCAGTTAGCGAAGAAATGGGAGTTGAACTGACGGCCTGATCATTTTGAAGCACACATCCCACGAAAATGTGTTGCAAACGCCAAATGTATAGATCTTGGATTTAATATATGCCTTGATGAATTTTAATGTTCTTTTGTTCTGCTCCTTCATTACTTCCTAATTTATTTCCCTAGGAAAGCAGGCAGTTTCCCCTAAACCACTTTATCTTGCAGGTATGTGATTCTTTTTCTAACTTTTACTGGTATTTATGACAGCGTTGATTCTCAGAGAAGATTTTGGATATGGGCTTTTTTTTTTTTTTGCAATGATGAAACAGTTTAGATTTTGATGACTGTAAAACCGATATACTTTGTATTATGAAATGGGCTCAGGCCTTTTCTACCTAAGAAGAGAACACTATAGTTTGCATCTGGATTGTCTCACAAAGTATAATATATTAAAGAATTATTCCATTGCTTGAAACTATTGGGAGGTTGCAATAATAATATAAAGCAGAGTCCATTATAAGACCTTCCAGTCATTGCCAATCATTGGGAGATATGATACTCCCAAGTAAGTGTATGATATTGATGACTTTCTATCTTTTTACTTTCTGGCAATGGGGTACACAGTTTTTTTTTTAACATGTGCTGCTTGTGATAATATACAATCAGTGATGGATTATAGCATAAAAACTAGAAGGGAAAATCATTTTTTATTTCATCAGTTGATTTATCTTGGCTACTTATTACAGTAATGGAAAGAACTTTACATGCAAGATAAGTCATGCAATCAAAGCTGATTTTCTAATCTCGATGAAATAGAAATTAAATAGTGACTATCACATAATCAATACACACGGGAAAGGTTTTGATGACTATTGACCTTGAAAGGGCCCTTAAAAACTACACTTAGATTTCAGATGGTGAATTGGAGAAACAGAATTCTAGAGAAACTGATTGATCTGCTCAATATCACTCACCAGCTAAATCTAGAAACTAATAGCTCTCTGCCTGGAAACCATTTGGTCACAAATAACATGTAGCTTTTCCTGAACTAATGTAAATATATGTGTGTGTATACATATATATATACATACATACATACATACATATATGCATACACACATACATTTGAGATAATTTAGGGAAAAGCTAGAAAGTCAGAATATATTCATTTCATAAGCTTAGGCTCCTAAATCCACACAAAAAGCTTTTAGCTAAAAAATGCTGAGGAATAATTTATTTGTATACTGTAAAGATTTGTCACTCATATTGGTTTAATAAAATGCTGATTGTCCAGTAACCGCATGGGAAAAGTATAGGTGGGGTAAACAGACTAAGAGAATTCTGGGTAGAGGAAAGGCAGAGAGAGCAGGTCACCAGCCAGACGCAGAGGAAACAAGTTGAGAATGCCTCACTGAGAAAAGGTACAAAGTCATATGGCTGATCATAGAAAAGAATTATGAGTTAATTTAAATTGTAAGAGATAGTTAACAATAAACATGAGCTGATAAGTCAAACAGTTTATAATTTATATAAACCTCTGTGTGTTTCTTTGGGACTGAACAGTTGTGGAACTAGACAAGACAAAAACTTCTCTCTACAAATAATATCAGAACTGAAGGGATTTTTACCAATGTTGAAGTTTTCTCATAAATGACAAAATATTTTAAATTTCATGTTTGACAATAAGCTATCTTTCTCATTGAATCCTGATTGTTTTGGTTATTTCTCACTAATGAGTCATTATTAATAAATCTTTCTAGAGAAATCAGACATTAATGTTTTCACCAACTGTTGCATAGATAGGAATAGAAATTATTTATAATACTCATTGACAAATTTTGAAAATTTAATCACTGAATGTAGGCTGGAGGTGTGGCTGTGACTGTCATTTATCTCCTTTTGCCAATAATAACCTGTTCTAGAATTAAATGAAAATAGATTCTGAAGATCGATTTATTTAAAATCACTCAGTGGGGAAATTCATAATCACATCTTAATCTCCTCCCTTTAATACCGTTACCTTGTTGCACATTGTGCAAGAGAAAGAGAAAATGCATAATGCATTCCTAATGCGGATTTTAGGAACATTTAATGAAATGGAAATATATTTGTTATTTTATTTTGCTACCTGGAAGGTTTAAGAAATGTGATATTTATGCAGTGGCAGCTCCCAGAGAGGTCTTTTGGAAAATCCTGTTAGCAGCAGTTAACAGGACACTTTATGAGAAGTTTAAGTTTCTTATAATACTGATGTGGCTAAGCATTTCCAAGAGATTGAAACCACAATTTACAGGTAGGCTTCCATAGTGATTTTTTATAATTAAGTTGAAAATTATGATAGAAAAAAGAGAGGTAATATTTAAAAATCCAAACCCATTAGTTTGTGGTTAATTGTGATGAAATAATGGTTGCTATAAGCAACTTTCCATTTTTGAATCTTAGCAGTATTGCTCATTCCTCAAATTTGTCCATGAAGGAAAAATTATCACCACTCACAAGCCATTGAAGAATCAGAAACCACAGAATAGTTTTGTATTTCAAACTATTGGGATTTTCCTTCCTTTGATTGCCTGATTGTTTGATTTGCGCTTGAGTAGCACTCATTCATTTCTTTAAGAAGCTCATTGAGAAATATAGCCTTTTATACTTTGCAGATTCATCACAGAGAAAGTCAAGATTGGAGGAGAGTATTCTCTCCTAAAGTGTGATTTTTTTTTAACAAAATCATAGGGTTTTATTTCCATCCCATTGGGCAGGGCTCGGCAGGGAGCAGACTCTTATAGAGGGAAGAGGCCACTACTCTACTTGCCGGCAATGAACGGTTCAGGTTCCATTGCACCAAGATGACTGAGTCCTTGCGCAGGAATATATTGGAGATGTAGCGGTCTTTGTTGACAGGCTTGGATGTCTTCTTGCCCTGGCCTCTCTTGGGGACCTCAGTCCACATCTCCTTCTCCAGCACCATGTTGCAGTGCCTGTTAAAGGCCTTCACCAGTCCCAGGAGCTTCTTGTTGTTGCAACAATTAATGAGCACGTGTGTGTTGTTCTTGACTAACTGTGTGAGCACCGAGAGGGGACGTGTGTTGAATTCCTCCTCCCGCCTCTGCAGCTCCTCTGGGGTCATCTCACTCTTGGGTTTATTGAAAAGACTCATGGTGAATGTTTCGCTTGCAGATCACTCCCGCCTCCACCTCGTTGCTCTGGTCTGTAAATTCCTAATCAGTTTATTGCAGTGGTTTTTGTCTGCTATTTGTAGTTGGGTTGTTGCAATGTTTAGTTAAAAATCATATAAAAATGGGAATAATTTATCATATGATTTTGAAAATGAAGTTTGTGTTTTGTTGCTCCAAAGATTTGAAATAGAATTGAGAGAGAGAGAGAGAGAGAGAGAGAGAGAGAGAGAGAGAGAGAGAGAGAGAACTATAGTTTGATTCAATAGAGAATTTTTAAAAATCTGATGATTCGAGCTGACAACAAAGGGATAGGCTAATATTTTTAAACTTTAGAAATCTAACTATTCATTTTTATCTCTTCCAGTTTCATACATGCATATAAAGAGTTTGAGTCATTTTCAGCCTCCATTCTGTTTTCTACTCCCTTTCCCACTGAGTTACTTTTTCTTTCCTACAAGTTTTCCTCCTACTTTTGTGATCTTTTCTATGTATCTGACACACTGCATTTACTTAGGATTGCTTCTGTGGGCTCTGGTGGGTGGTTATTTACTGGAACATGGATGGGCAAATTGTTATAATTATACCAGTAAGTGTATGGGCACCTGTGTTTGCAGGTTTGTGCGTCTATGCCCATGTCAGAAGAAGGCCATAAGATGGTGTTGAGTATCCATGTTAGAAGAGCTCATTTTATTGAAATATTTTGATATACTGAATAATTTATATGCATAAATTGTAATTAGAAATTGTATTATCAAAAGCAAGTTTATAAACACATTTATCACCTTCAAATTTTTTTCTCCCTTTATTATCTTATGATCAGACTGTCTAACATAAGACATAATTTGTCAACAAATTTCAATAATACAATATAGTACTATTAATCACGTGTTATACTGTATAATATATTTTAATTATTTTAATAACATTTAAAATATGTAATAATGATTTTATAGATATGTTTATTTTTAGTATTTTGACTTTTACACTAGGTTTCAAAGTGACTTCTGTGATACCATTAGCGCTTTGCCATATTGTATAAGGTTTTGTGTTTTTTTTTGTTTTAGTTTTCTCAGTGACTTTTATTCTTCAATATACTTTTCTATTGTTATTGAGTATCTTTTGATTAAACTTAAATCACTGTTTTTAACCCTACTTCTAAAGCAGGTGTCATGGTGACCAATTCTTCATTTTGGTTATTTTTTTCAGTTCAGTTTTGCCATGTCTAATACCCTTATTTTGCAGTTTTCCATTGAATCTTTTATGTACAAAAGACTTTCTTCATAATGACTGTGAGGGCTGGAAAGAGCCTGCCAATGAGTGTCATGGTTAGTTGTAATTGCCCATTTTACCAGAAAAATATAGTCCTGTAAACCCCAGAGCTGCAGTGTGGAGATGGTGAGACTATTAAGATCTGGGGACTAGGAAGAGTTGGTTAGGTCATTAGCTGTGTCATCTTGAAAAGGATCAATTTATCTTTTATGAGACTCTGACTAGTTCCTGAAGATTGAGACCTATGCCTTAATCTCTCTCTGGCTTCCTGCCTCAATATGTGATATCGTCCATGAATGCTTTTATCATTGTGATGTTATCCATAGGCTGAGCAGGTAGGGGAATCTATTGTGAAATTTCAGTCTCCAAAAATGTGACTTAATAAACATCTCTCTTTACAAAGTCTCCAGCTTCAGATGGTTTATGCTAGTATAAAAATATTTTTCACAATTATTAGAAAAATCATCAATAAAGTTACAAATGTCATTTGATCTAGGATGTAAATGATGAGGAACGGTAAGCTCACATTCCATCTAAAAGTGGCAGCTACTATTCTGTTAAGCAAGAGTATGAGTGTAGTTGATGCTAGATTTAAAATTTCAATGCAACTAGAAACAGTATTTTGTATGATAGCTTCTGATTTAAAAATACTGGCAACTGATACAACAATATTTTTAAAACATTGTGTGGGCCCAATAGAAACCATCTGTGGGTCAGTTTGGTTTCAAGTTTTTCTTAGACATGCTGAGTGAGTAAGCCATAGCCATTTTGAGGGCACGAATTAGGAACACATCAGAAGAACTGGAAGCAAGCCATGCTAGTTCTAATCCCCAGTTGGTTTTCCTTCTCTGTTCATTGCTAAAGTTTGGGAACTTACTGAAACATGCATTTGTCCTTGTAAGAAAGGAAAGAACATATTTTTGGGAAGGGAAAAGAGGTCTTGTGGAAAGTTCTAATTACTACTACTCACTCCCATAATAATTGCTACTTGTTAAGTAGTTACTGTGTTTAGAGGATCTTTCATATCTTATTTATTCCTCATAAAAATTCATGGAATAAATGTAATAATGCCTATTTGTTTCATCACTCTATAGACTCATGGTAAACCCTTATCACATTTTTTCTAGGCATAGAGGTTACTTATCACACACATAGCACACACATATACACACACACACACACACACACACTAAGAGATTATAAAAATCTTTATTAGTTGTATAATAAAGGTTTCTGAGAATAGCCGGACAGGCTTGCTTAGCTGGTGTGAAAATAGTTTGAAAGAGTAGTGAAAGAAGACTAGTTTAGAATTTTTGCTATGGTTGGAGGGTAATACCCACATTTAGACAAAACTTACAAGTTTATTTATCCACTACTAACTAAAGAAAGGTGTCATTTGCTTTCTAATCAGATTTTTTGATCTTTATTGACACACAAAAGACTTCCAAAATAGACTGGAATAGAATATAACAAAGGTTTCTTTATTATAAGATAAACTCACAGAAATAATAGCAATCCACAGTCCTCTGCATTTGCTGGGAACTGGAACCAAATCCAGCAGCCAAGAGGCTCATCTGTTGTAGGAAGCTTTTGTTCGCCTGGCCACCCAGAACTGAAATAATCACTCAGAAACTATATTATTTGTAAATACTGTTTGGCCAATAGCTTAATCATGTTGCTAGCTAGCTCTTACACCTAGAATTAACCCATCTCCATTATTTTGTATTTTACCATGAGGCTCGTGGCCTACTGACAAGGTTCTGGCTAGAATAAAAAGGAAGGTTTTTTTTTTTTTTAACTTTAACATAGTAAAATTACATATAACAAAGCAGGTATCAAGCAAGAAATATACTTATACTACTTATATCTATGTTATCTTTTATCATAACTAAGGAAAACTATAACTATTCTTCAACCCCATCAAAGACTAAAGAAGGATATAATATTACCTAAGTAAACAGGAAGTACATTGTAAACAACTTCCAAAACTCTAGAAATGACAGAGACATCTTGCTGTCTGGAGAGTCACCCAAAGTTCTTCTGTATTTTGGGGGCATCCACCTTCAGCCTACAGTCCCATAGTATCCAGCAGGATTTTCCATGAAGCAGGAAATTTCAAAGACAGTTCTGCCTATGTTGGCAGTTTGTCGGTCATGTTCTTCTGTATCCTGCAGAATGTCTGGCAGTCTCTTTCATGAAGCAAGAACTCTGAAGCATCATCTCACCTTTAGGCAAGTTGAACAGTCATTTCTCTGTGGGTCCTGCATGTCCATTGCATCAAGCAGTCCAGGCAAGAGCAGTTTCTTGTCCAGATGGCTAACAAACTCCATTAGGAGCCTCTTCAATGCCCATCATCCTCTTGAAGTAGATTAATGGTGCCAGGAGCAGATGTGTCTCATTGTTATAAAAAGTTTTAAGCTCATAAAATATTTTAAATACCATATTTAGAAGGTCTCTGAAACATTTGAAGAATACCTATCTAACTGATATATATATATTACATATAACCTAACTAACATGACTACAAGCTTGACTATTACAGATGATTATCTATTAACCTGTATTTCTTAATTATACATTACATTTTTAAATGAGCTGTACAAACACAGTATCATAATCAAGAGCAGAATAATACATATATAACTAAATTGACCTGAAATTTGTATCAATAAACCAAGATACATACCAATGTAGATCTCTATAGCATATCCCCCTTTAAATGTAAAGAAACCTGTATAAACAATATTTGGGAATATGGGTATAATTCTCACCAAACTGATTCCTGCTTTTGTTGGGCAGAGTAATTTTAGGGGTGTTCATCATGACTTTTCAGGGGCTCTTGTTCCATTAAACCACATTATTCTGGAAGGATTCCACAGGTTCTCATCCTCTGTGGAGACAAGAAGAACCTCTTTTCCAAAGCAACAAATCCTTGAACCCAAATTCTAACGTCAAGAGACCTTTTAAACATATATGTCTGTTACTTAGCTCCTTCACAGTAAAAAATTTCAAAGAAAACACAATAATCCAGACATTCTGTGTATTTTCCATCTTTACATGTTTTTTTTAACTCTTTTACTTTTTAATATTTATTTTATTATCTTTACTCCTTTAATATATGACTGTCTATAACCTGTCTCTTTAAAGACTTTTTTATTTTTTAAATGATTTTTCTTTTTCTAATTCTCTATACTCTTTTTCTTCTCTCTCCCAAGCCTACATACATTTTTCTAACACTGTCACCCATTTAAAGGTCTTTATCTTCTGCATTTCTCCTTATTGCATATCTTTAATCCTTTTCTGACCAGAATCACATTTTAAAAAGCTAAGCAACAATAGTATGACTAAGACTGCTTTGCCTGTTGGCTCCACATAGTCCAACATGTGAGAGGTCTGTTCATTGCCTCTGAGAGCCATTTTCTCAACCCCAGATCCATGGTTGGGAGCAGCATGTCTGTGTTCCCATTTTACAAGTTGTAGCAATCTGTTCACAAACCACATTTATTTATTTTTTAAAAGATTTATTATGTATACAGTGTTCAGCCTGCATGTATGCCCTCAGGCCAGAAGAGGACACCAGATCTCATTACAGGTGGTTGAGTCACCATGTGGTTGCTGGGAATTAAACTCAGGACCTCTGGAAGAGCAGCCAGTGCTCTTAACCACTGAGCCATCTCTCCAGCCCCCACAAACCACATTTAAATGCTCCTTA